AGGTTACATTCTAATATCTATATGTAATCAAATAACGCCCACCTAGCCAAGGAGGATTGGCTCCCAGAGTGCAACATCTTTCCCATATATGGGCATGTCACGATACATAATTCGAATTCAAACTGCCGCCATTTTGTTCACTTCAACATTTGAATTGTGTACTTTGGTCTTATTTCATAACGAAAAATTCCAAAACTCACAAGAAATGATCAAAATGATCGAATCTTTTGAACTTTTTATTAATATCATATCATATATCATTGGTGTCTCTCTTATTTGAAAATGTTTGTGGAAAATGTCAGAATCATAACTGTATAATGGTGATATGGTTGTCATGTAGCAACAACCAAATATCAAAATTAGCGTAATTGTTCAACATTTCTTGAAAAATCTAGATCATATATAGACTTGTGACAACCAGTGAAGCTATGTTATAAAACATTGTCATTTGATCACTGTCTTATCTGTAACATTCAGTTGCCATAGCAACATATCAAGATAATATGATTGTAAATAAAAGCAAGTCTGCATCATTTAATAAATACCATATCAACTTCCTGATGTCATATGTGATGTCATATGACATTTAATTGATTATGATCAATGCAAGGGCACATTGAAGTTGAAAAACACATCGAAGTTAGTTTACAGATATGTACCAGTTTCATTGTGGTTAGTTCAGTCATTGTCATTTGGCCTGTCTTAGGGAAGTAACCTTTATCATTCAGTCTATGTGATTCTAGAAATTGTCCTTGGTCATTTAGTCTGTCTGATTTTAGAAATTGACTTTGGTCATATGTACAGCAACCCATATGTCGGAGAAACTGACATGTTTGAAAGTTAATAAAAGATATATATCCAGTCTGTCTGATTTTAGAAAGTGACCTTCATCATTTGTTCTAACTTATTCTCGAAAGAATTTTTTTATTCCAATTTAATACATTTAAATATACAATGCATTGACTGAAGTTAAATCATTTGTGGCAGTTTAATCATAGCAATTCTCGAAAGTGACCTTTGTCATTCATTTGGTGTGTCTGATTTTAGAAAGAGCTAGTCATTCTGTCTATCTGATTTTAGATAGAGCTAGTCATTCTGTCTATCTGGTTTTAGAAAGAGCTAGTCATTCTGTCTATCTGGTTTTAGAAAGAGCTAGTCATTCTGTCTGTCTGATTTTAGAAAGAGCTAGTCATTCTGTCTATCTGATTTTAGAAAGAGCTAGTCATTCTGTCTATCTGATTTTAGAAAGAGCTAGTCATTCTGTCTATCTGGTTTTAGAAAGAGCTAGTCATTCTGTCTATCTGGTTTTAGGAAGAGCTAGTCATTCTGTCTATCTGGTTTTAGAAAGAGCTAGTCATTCTGTCTATCTGATTTTAGAAAGAGCTAGTCATTCTGTCTATCTGGTTTTAGAAAGAGCTATTTTAGAAAGAGCTAGTCATTCTGTCTATCTGGTTTTAGAAAGAGCTAGTCATTCTGTCTATCTGGTTTTAGAAAGAGCTAGTCATTCTGTCTATCTGGTTTTAGAAAGAGCTAGTCATTCTGTCTATCTGGTTTTAGAAAGTGCCCTCTATCATTCAATCTCACTTGTCTTTTTATTTTGATATTAGATGAAATGGATTCAATCGATACATGTACTTTATCCAGCAATAAAGGTGACAGAAGTAAGTCAGTTAATAATAAGTTCTGATTGGTTTTCATAACATTGTTAGGTACGTTTAGTTCATTGATGAGTGTTCTTAAGAACGAAGTAACCTTTCTACCCAGATACTAAATTATTATGTCTCAGGTGCCGCAATGAACCATCTCACAATAAATAGGGGTAGCCAGAAGATTGAAAATAATTAATCAGAGTAGAAAAATATGTCTCGATATCACTTATCTATTAAGCTTACAATTATCATTTGCGAGCTCAATAACAGGATGTTCTCGTGATTTAAGTGTAAAAAAAAAAAAAAAGTGTACATGGAATTATTTTGGGGCAATGAGCAAATGCTAGTATGTGATGTCATTAAGAAATGGCATCTCAGAGCTCATATTTAAAGCTAATGTAAATTATCAGATTAGAGGGACTTGTGATATTAATCATGGTCAAAGGCTTTTTCATTATCAACAAACAATAGCGTACCAAATATTAATTGATTAATTGATTGATAAATGAATCTGAATTTTTAAACATAATGAAATAAATTGATTTAAATACCTTCTAGATAACCTCTACATTATAGTATGTTATTCAAATATAGGGTTGTTTTGCATCTAACTTGATTAGTCTCACTATTTTTATCTATCTTCATGTTGATATTAAATCTGAGAATATAAAACAGATCTTATTAGCTTGGATTCCCTGTAGATGATACAGTGTTATTGTACAATGTTATCATCAACTTGTGCTGATTGCCGTGCCTGCGAGTGAGGGGGCAGGTGTTTTTTTTCCAGGAAATCATCAGAAGTTGAGACAAATTGTTATGGTCTCAAACTTTTTTGTGGCTGATGTAGGTGTTTGGTGGTTTGAGTTTGACTTTCAGCATTTGGCTTTCGGTGTCTGTAACAAATGGCAGGTGATGACATGTTGCATGTTAATGCCTTGTATGTTACACTACAATTTTGAAAATTGATTTGTAAAGGTGATAACCTAAACCTTTACTCAAACTAAATATGAAGACAGAAAATCACCCCTAGTTACACACCATCTTGTTGCTATAACTGATCTGCCCCCCCCCCCCCATTTTATTTCTATGTTTGATAGATAATGAGAGTTGATCTGGCATTAATCCAATATAACAAGAGCTTCGGGCTTCAAACTGTAGAACTGAATAGATAGCATTCCTACATTAACATGTATATTTAAGTACATATAAGTACATGTAGACATTAACATGTCCGTACATTTAGACAATATTGTTTACTGTCACATGATTCATCATGTAAGATGTCTTTCAATCGGGACAATAACAACAAACAACAACAACCTGCCTTGTAATTAGATTAAATGAATTGAAATTGAACTAGTTTTAAAAATGTACTATACACGGTATTGTAAGACCTGTCTAAATGAAACACATTTGCTACCTCAAAAAACGTGTTCCTTGTTGGAGGTGTTCTACTTACAGAGGTGTTCTACTTACAGAGGTTCATCTAACATTAAGTCAGTTGGTCTTAGGACTCTGAAAAGTGTTTCACTAACAGAGGTGTTGTACTTCTAGAGGTGTTCCACTTTACATATTTCACTATATATATATTTATGTGATATCAGATATGTTTACTTCTATGTTTTGTTGTTTTGAAATATCTAGAGTACCTTTTCTGTGATATATGAAGTCTATGCAGGTTCATGTGTTTGTTTGTAGAATTTCAGGCCAAGTCATAAATCAACAAATCAAGAATTGGTTTATCGGACATTTTGTATTTTCCAAAGTGAACATAAATTGTTTGGCTATCTTAGTTTTATGTCAGTAGAAAAGATATGATGCCACTTGTTAAGAAATTAAATGAAATAGCTTAATGAGTAATATATCTTTACTGCTGAAATCAAAAGATAATATATTTATGGATGTATAGATGGCGGGCCTGCAGTTATCTGATTTATTACGAGTCAAGATATGAAAGGAGGCAAACCATCTATAATGCCATTGATTCTGAAATAGCCTTGGGTCGAGGATATAGCATAAATATTAGTGATACTTGTTAGAATTATTTATTCAGTCTGTAATCCTAGGTTTTCTTTTTCCATTTTTACATAGGATCTAATGAGAAAGTGTTACACACACAATTGTCAAATATTGACAATTAAGAGGCCCTTGACTTTAAAAAAAACAACACTTACTTGTGGTTTTTAAAGTTTTAATGTCCTTTGTTGCCAGTTTGCATCTCATTATTAGTCAGGGTACAAACTCATTTACTTTGATACCATATGTGTGTTAATTATGTTAATATTTGTTAGCACTGGTGGATCCAGGGGGGGGGGCATGGGGTCTGGGCCTCCTCCCTTGGGTGGGCCAAAAAATATTTTTAGGGCCCTAAAAAATTTTGGGGCCAAAAATTTTGTAGGGCCTCAAAAATGGGCCTCTTTGGGCATACCTTGGCTATTTTGGACCTTTTTAGGCCAAATGATCCAAAATAGGCCTTAAAATGTTCAAAATTTTGGCCTAATTTGTTTTGGTCTTAGGAGCCCAAATTTTGATTATGCGCAAGCGCAGAATTTTTTCATGACTTGAATTGTGTCCCTCCCCCTTGTTAGCTTCTGGATCCACCTGTGATTAGTATGTGCATTTAAGGACCCTTTACCAGCTACCACCTTCATATGACCTTGCTAGTGGTAGGTGATAAAATATATATTAACATCCGTTGGAGGGTGATATTTGAGTTGTCAACTAGAAGTTGGACTTTGCTATGTAATATAAGGATCTTGTCTGAAGTGTTTTTCAGTCTAGTACAACTTGTTTTTCTACCAATTATGTGTTAGTAGATTATCTTGCCCTAGAACCGGGCAATCTTCTATGTTTACATGGGTAAACATTGAAATATGTCCATTTTTTGCTGACATGGTGACCCTATGGTATGGCTGACTTGTCCATTGTCTGTCCACCTATCTGTCCTTCAGTCCCTCAATTTGAACGGTGACAATTTAACATTCATTTTTATGTGTACGCCACAAGTGGTGTTATAGTCTCCCACTTTTTATTGATTGTGTTTGGTGGTTGGTGTTTGGCAATTGGTGTTTGGAGGTTGGTGTTTGACATTTACTGTCTAGTCTGTAATAAGTGGTAACATTTTACACGTTAATGACTTGTGTAATTGTTTTATGTTCTGCTGGGTGTAAATGTTATTAACTGGATCTTGAAAAAGAAATCACATGAATTAAGGCCATTGCCGGGTTACATCCGGGCATCTCGCAAGACTTTGCCTCCAAACCCAATCAGAAGTTGTTGTTTTTTTTTTGTTTTTTTTGTTTTTTTATTCCTTCATTCTTATTTATGTACATGTAAATGTAAATATAAATGTGTACATGTAAATGTAATGCAATTAATAATATAAATAAAATTTACGTAGACAAAAAAATACACTTATAGTTATGTTGTAAATGTATGTTGACTAAATGAATGTTGAATAAAATTGCAATTGTTGTTGATTGTTGATTGATAAAAGAATGAGTAAGAATAAAGTGTATGTAAAACCAATGCAAGGGGTGTGCTTTCCTATCCTATTTTGATGCTGTTTACTATATGCTGTAAAGGGATCTACAATGTTTTTATTTACTGCTTGAATATCTTTTGAGCAGTTTTCCATGCTTTGTCATGGGCTTCTAACTTGTTATTCTTCTCTGCATTGCTTCTGCTTATGATTTCCTGGGCTTCAACATATTTCTTGAGGCCTGTCATATTTGGTGGTTTATTGTCTAATTTGTTGAGATAGATGTAGTGTTTAACCAAGAGTAGCGTTAGGTTTTCTCCCAAACTGGTGTTCTCTCCTAGGAAGTATTTTGCTCTTGTCAGGTTTTGTATTTGACACAGTTGGGTGACCATCTCTATGAATGGTTTGACAGCTATACATTCGCATAGTCCATGTTCGATGGTATCCTGTTTGTCTTCTTTACACAATTCAATCAGAAGTTGCCAATTTGAGTGACACTGCATACTAATTCTCAAGTTGCAGAAGTTATTTTTATGTTTACGTCAATAAAGTTCATAATGTAATTAATGTTCATAGTCGGATATGTATTTTATTTTTTCCTAAACAAAAATCTCAAAGATAAAAAGAAAAAACTGAAAATATAAATGTTCATATTTAATTTAAATATTGTTGAATCGAAGGAGTAAAACGAATGAAATGTTTTTTTTTGGGTTTCTATAAAGCTAGATTATTATATTGAATGGGATTGTATACCGTATGGGTCACCCTTAACTTGCAAGAACATGTTAGGAATATTAATAGGGAGTCTACATGATTTATTACATATTGACTTTTCTTTAACCAAATAGCGTCTCTCAGATCAGTAAAAAATCAAGTTAAAGTAGAGCTCACGCCTACCATAATTTACGTCAGAAAAAACGTCAGTAACCCATATCTTGACTGTGTTTATTCATATACATGTATTTTTAGCTATGGTAACTTGGTCAAAAAATCAAGCTCATATATTCAGAGAAATATTTTTCATGCCCATGATAAATTGGTTCACGGGAGATCAATAGGGTCGATACAGAATGAAATGGAATTAGAATAGAAATTGGAACTTGTTTTGAGATTCAGAACTCCATAACTAAAGATATCATCATTTATTTTTCTTGATCATCAAATCATTTTGGGTTAAATTGATCAAAAGATTTTCAAAAATCAATTATATTAAATACGAGGGGTGATCCAAAAGTCTTGGACGCCTTGCTCTAACTTTGCTATTTTCTAATATAATTACATGAAACTTTCAGAGAGTAAAGATCAACATCTTAACAACTTTGTGTATAAGTTTCAACAGAAAATAATATATTTCAGCTACTTTTCTACATATTTTTTAATACCGGGTCCCTGCCACCCGGAACGGTATTTAAATATAGCAAATCACGTCACAACTGTTATAATATGGCAAATACTTTAGGTGCAGGTGCACAACCTAACACTAGTCATGATATGAGAGAATTTCCAATTTTCAGTCTGAGTGCCATCTGCCATCATCATCTTAACATATTAAGACCTACTTTTCAACATATTTTCCGCGAATTTTAACTCATTTTTCATACCGCTTTACCAATGAATGGAAGTCATTTATGAATCCGCCATTGCTTATGTGATACAAATGCTGCTGGAGTGCCACTCTAAACCTCATACAATGAGTAATAAAAACATTTCTTTCAACCCTCCTTTTTTCTGGAGAAAAGGAAGAAAATCACATGGAGCCATATCTAGACTGTATCGTGCATATGGTAGCTGCTCAAGGTCTAATAATAGTGAAAAGATCTTGCAGTATTCTTTGTTCCACTTTGATTTCTTTCATGTTCTGCATTTCAGCAGCCATGTTGCAGCAAAAATGATACCAGAATGAGGGTTGCTTGTCTGATGTCATTTTCTTAAAATTTGACATATACGGCCATTGTCATACGTGACATTATAACTAAAACAAAATTAATTGGTTGCCTAGTAACAAAGGAAGTAAACTAACATGGTTTAACATTCAAAATTCAAAGAAAGATAGTGGTCAAGACTTGCGAAACAAGTGAAATAGCGGCAACATTTAAGGCTGAAAGTTGCCATGTGCGAATACCGTTCCGGGTGGCAGGGTCCCTATATTAAAAATTATGTAGAAAACTACTTAAAATATATCATTTCTCCATGAAATTAATACACAAAGTAGTTAAGTTGTTGGTCTTTATTATTGGAAAGTTTAAAGTAATTTTATCAAAAACTGATAAAATTAGAGCAGGGCGTCCAAGACTTTTGGATCACCCCTCGTATGGTGGAAACTGGGATAGGTGGTCAAGTTAATTTGTCTGAATGGTCCATTTCCGAAGGTAAGATTAGATGGTTTAGACATAATTCTGTTTCATGGCAGCCCAAGATGTCAGACAACTTTTTGTCTTCTTAAACTGATGGTAGATCATTGACATTTCTTAAAATTATCCCATTTTCAATAATGCTTGTGTCTTATAGTCAGAAGAAGAAAACAAATATTGGCTCATCACTCAGAACTGTATGATCCTTTTTCACCTTTTCAGCTATGCAGAATGAAAGAGACAGTACCCTATGCATTCATATGACTTAGCTTCTTAAAAGAATGCTTCGTCTACTTTCTTTCAGTGGATGACTTTCTCTATATGATCATTGAGATCACAACTTTTTATGTCCCCACCACATAGTGTGGGGCCATATTGTCGGCCTAGGCGCGTCCGTCTGTCCGTCTGTCCGTCTGTCTGTCCGTCTGTCTGTCCGTACGTCCGGCAGTTTTCTCCAAAACCGCTACAGATATCACCTTCAAATTTTCAGGGATAACTTATGAGTGCATACAGATGTGGATGAAAAAAAATTAACTCGATAGCTACTTCCTGTCGGCCATTTTGAAGTCAAATGCTAAAATCCTTGTCTGCAAACTTTAAGAAAAACTGCTTCACAGTTGCTTTTAAAACTTTAACATCTTGTTCAACTCACTTCATTCTAGATCTGATTAGGTTTTGGACCTGCTAGCTCAGTCATGTCAGCCATTTTGAATGTCTTAAGAAAAGTTAGCGCGCGATAATACTTTGTATCATATTGAATGGTGTTTTTGAGTTTTCATACTTTAACTATTTAGTAGCTTTATAAATAATTTCAGATGTACTTTGCTGTAAAAGCCTACTTTATTGTTAACAGTAGTTATATGTGATAATTTTGTAAAAAGAAATCAGCAAAAACTCATAAGGACTTTTTTATTGTCGGCCATTTTGGATTTTTCGGTCCTAAAATCTTGTCTGTGAAGTCTTGTCTGCGCGTTTTCAGGTGAACCGTTTGGTGGATCAATTTCAAATTTTCAGGGATGATTCTTAGTATAAAAATCTAGATCTCATTAGTTTTTTGGCATTTTGGGTAAATGTCAAGGCAGCCATTTTGGATTTTCCGTCCTAAAATCTTGTCTGTAAAGTCTTGTCTACTCGTTTTCAGGTGAACCGTTTCGTAGATCAATTTCAAATTTTCAGGAATGATTCTTAGTATGAAAATCTAGAACTGATTAGTTTTTTTGCATTCTGGGTAAATGTCAAGGCAGCCATTTTGGATTTTCCGTCTTAAAATCTTGCCTGTAAAGTCTTGTCTACGCGTTTTTAGGAGAACGGTTTGATAGATCAATTTCAAATTTTCAGGGATGATTCTTTGTATGAAAATCTACATCTGATTACTTTTTTTGCATTCTGCGTAAATGTTAAGGCAGCCATTTTGGATTTTCTGTCCTAAAATTTTGTCTGTAAAGTCTTGTCTACCCGTTTTCAGGTGAACCGTTTGGTAGATCAATTTCATATTTTCAGGGATGATTCTTAGTATGAAAATCTACAATCAGATTAGTTTTTTGACATTCTGGGTAAATGTCAAGGCAGCCATTTTGGATTTTCCATCCTGAAATCTTGTCTGTAAAGTCTTGTTTACATGTTTTCTGGTTAACTGTGTGACGGATTAATTTCAAATTTTCAGGGGTGGTTCTTAGTATGAAAATCTAGAACTGACTAAATTTTTGGCATTCTGGGTAAATTTTAAGGTGGCCACTTTGGATTTTCCGTCCTCAAATTGTGTTGGTAAAGTCTTGTCTACTCATTTTCAGGATAACCATTTCACGGGATCACCACTTGGTGGGGACATTTTGTACACATTTGTGTTCTTGTTTGTGAATGGTGTTTAGAGGTTGTTGTTTGGCATTTGGTGTTTGGTAATCGCCGGTTTGCAGTAAATGTCTGTAACAAATGGCAGGTGGTGACATTTTGCATGTTAATGCCAAGTGTAAACCCAGTATTGAGCAGCAATTAACCTTGCTAAACCGTGTTTCTTTCTTCTTGCATATTGGAATTGAGAAAATGTCAGTGTGTTTTTTTTAAATTGATTTATGACCCGGGCTGTGATGGCTACCGGCAGTGAGGACGGGGCCGCTGAACTGTAAAATTATCTTTGCTGTTCTAAGATTACTTACCATATTCATTGGACAATAATACTTTAGCGTAAAAATCTTTAGTTTTTCTGAAATTAAGTATGCACTTTGGGGAATGATGTGAGACAAAAATGTTTCAAAATTGAAACACTTTTTTGCAGAACTCACTCAATCTACTCGATAGATCTGATTCTGTTTTTCTACCTTCCTTTATACCAACAGTATTTGCGAGGCTATTTCTAATTTGCTTGGTGACAGAAAAAACATTGTGTGGGAAGACGGCATGCTGTTTCATTAGGATGATTCCCCTTACATAATTTTCAATTAATAACTTCAGTTATTCATTAGAGTCTGTAGTAATAGGGAAAATGTATACACGTTATTTCAGTTATAAAATAAACAGTTCAAACATTCATGTTTAAAGGAACTTGTTTTTAATTCAGTCAGTAAATCTGCATTTTAAAGGCACTTGTTTGGCCCGTAGCCAGGATTTCCCAACGGGGGGGTTTGCTTTTTGAGGAATTCAGGGGGGTTCACTTTTGACAACTTTGTGCTCAGAATAGTGAAAAACTGCATTATTGTGAAAGAAGTTGGCCAGGGGGATTCGCTCGAACCCCCTCCCTCCCCCCTCCCTGCTTTTTTTCAATCCAATCAGAAGACTGTAAGTATCAAGTACCATTTTCAAATCTTAAAACCAGAGGTTTATAGTAAAACTAGGCTGTGTTCCTCAAAGTAAATATCAGATAAAATGTCAGTTAAATCACTTAGACTCTTGAAAAATTACTTGTAGAAGTAGTTATTTCTGTTTTTATGTCACGACCACAAGTGGTGACATATTGTTATCGATTTTAACTTTGGTTGGTGTTCAGAGTTCAGCTTCTGTAACAAATGGCAGGTGATGACATTTTGTATGTTAATCATTTGTTTAACAATAATTGTTTCTTTTTAATTGAGTGTGAGTAGTGTGTGAATATGAGTGCAGTGAGTATAATTTGAATGCAAGGTAAAATAATATCAGTCCATTATAATAATAATATAGTTGCTTTTACATACATGTATACTTACCATCTATACTAAACCCTTGATTTGAATGCATATAAGTTCCTTTTTAACAGAAATATTGCATATAATCTGCTCTTATATAAGTATAAGGCTAATATGATCCTGATGAATGATATAGATAATTATATCTATTTTAATTAAAAGCAAAAATAAATAAAAGTATTATTATGTATAATATTACATGTTATTGTATATCAGTCATCAGATATCGCATTTACCAAATTAAAATACTGTAGTATCATTTTCTAAGTAATACCCTATCAAGTTATCAACGCAGACATTAATGCATCTCTTAAAAGGAAATCAGAATAGATTAGATTTTCTACAATAAGTAAAGTTTATGTAATTACAATCTAATCAGTTGTTTTTTTACAGATGTTCATGGTGTATGTGATAATCAATCTCGAAACAATATACCTTCAGTGTATAATTAAGCCGTATATCATTACACAATTGTTGTTGTCACCAGATCCTGATGTAACAACAATACAAGCTTAGTTTTATTAGTTAGGCTAGATTAGTCAAATTCTTTGTTTAACGTTTTAAGGAGAGTTGATCAGGCTTTTTATTATTATTTGTTTTTATGTCACCACCAAAAGTGGTGACATATTGTTATGGTCTCTTTTTTGACTGTGGTTGGCAGTTGGTGGTTTGCATCTGCAACGAAATTCTTAAACTTCCAATAACTTTACAAATACTGTTTAGACTGACTTTAACTTTTTTCAAATTCATCTACAAGTTCTCAGAAGTTCACATCTGACCTTAGATTTGAGATTTCACCTTCTCAAGGTAAAAAAGGTCAAAAAGGTATTTTTTCAACTTGCTTCAAATTGACCAATTTTCATAATCTTCCACAAGTTCTCAGAAGTTCAAATCTGACTTAAGGTTGAACTCATGATATTGTAAGCAACTAGATGGTGACATTTTGTCATGTTAATGCCTTGTCTTATATTGGCAAAATATGGCTGGTTTGTGGAAAAAGCACACTTTTTTGTCTAAACGCTATAATCTTAGTCATACTATTTTGTATAAATACTGTTTGGGTATTATTGACAATTAGATTCAGGACCACGTGCTTAACATTTTTTACTTAGCTTTGCCTTGGTAGATTTGTTCATAGTCTTGAGAAAAACAACTTTTTCTGAAGGGCAAATTCATTGCCCCAGCTAGGCTGAAAATGGGGAATAATGTACCTTGATTCACAAGGTTTTAGTTGCTCCAACTTCAGTTATAACACCTTTGAAGTCAAAGATGGGAATAATGACCAAGAAGTTAAAATGTTCCAAAAATCAATAGCCACTCTCAAAACATAAAATTATCATTTGTAAGTAGCCATTGAAAAAGGGGACTTCACCCTTAATAATTGCCGGTGATAAGAATGTGTTGTATATTTTAGAATTCATTCTCCATTTATAAATTTTTATTGTTTTATTACATACGCTAGAAAAATCATTCGCAGGTTTGGTGTTGGTCAAATGTGCGTCCCCTGATTCAAATTATTAGCAAATGTCAACTTACCCTAAAAGTACTTATCGATAATCTATTTTTTATTATTATTATTATCTAGCTTTGTATACAAGTCTGTTACGAAATAACGACAACATGAAAGTAAATCAAACTAAGAGTTGGTTATCAGTACATAATAAACAGTTCTGTTTTTATGTAATCTTGGTTACTTGGGAAGTATCACGTCGTCATTGGCCCCTATGCTCAGACTGTTTGATATATGGCAGGCCGCTGATTAGAAAATTGGTAAATTAGTAAGTCAGTCATTGTAGGTCATATATTTTATGTATGGTGATTTTAATCTACTAATTTCCAAGCATTTTTGGTGTCATTTGTAGTCTTATTTTTATTGATGGCTCTTGTTTCATTAATGTTGTTTTTGCCCTGTATTGTCAAGAAAATCATGTCTCGGGGGTAATCGGGTAAGGTGCCATGTTTGTCTGAAACTGATTAAAACAAATTGTTGTTTTGATTGTTAATTACCAGGATGCGTCAAAGGAAAAATATCAGGTCTTCCAAAATATTCAGAAACATAAGGCAAATGATACTCAGCAATGTCTGTACCACATCCGTTGAAGGCCGCACTATTTTCTATTTTTTATGATTAATTATTTAATGGTAGTGAAGATAATATTTCTTCTATTTTATCATTAGTTACTAAATGGCAGTTTCTAAACTGAAAGACTCTGATATCAGTGTCTATTACTGATTATGTAAGAGTGATACGCCATAACACTGGCAAGATATATTGAATTGCTAGAAATTACACAATTGTGGAATACACACACAGATCTTTATTGAATATTTTGAAATCAGCATTGATAATGTCATTAGGTTTGAAGATATAGCAAAGAAATACATATAAAGTGATGATATCCATGACATCACTCAAATAATTGATAAAGTTGCAAAGTTGCGAGCAAATCGAATTTTGCCATTCTCTGGAACACATGTTAACATATTTAATAATATGATATACCAAAGAAATATGTTTTATTGATATGCTGCATGCAAGCATTGATAAGTATTCTATTTATGATGTTATTTTTACCAGATTTATATCGATTCTAGCTATACTTAAGAATTATAATCAATTTACAGATTTCTATTAAGGACTTGTTTCAAAATCCTACATACTTACAGTACAGAAGAAAATAATGACTTCTATTACATAATCAATAGCAAAAATGCTAATCAGAATATTCTTTCGAATCAACCAATTTATCAAATTATTGCAATTGTTCTGAAATATATTCTATTAAGAAACGGCAAGAAAGATTGAGTCATTTGTCAGTTAAGGGATATACAGTATTGACTTCATATCGAATTCAACTGAGATCCGAGTAAATCTAGAAAGATTGACTCCGATAGATAACTGGAATATTAAGTATGGGAATCCACATGATACATTAGAAAAGACATAATAGTAATCTGTTTTTAACCTCATGAATGATGTAACCATTGATTGGCTGAAAATGTTATCAGAAAAAAGCGATGCGTTGTCAATAACCTAATGTGATGGTCTCTTGATATTAAGTATAAGCTGATTCGATTCGACATATCATTCTCAAAAAAGCAATTTCCAAATGGAATGTTCAGAATTGAAAAATAGTCGTATTTCTCTATGGATACAGCATGAACTAGAAAAAATATGGGGCTGATAATAGAGGAGACTAAATCGAAAACAAAAGATGAATAATATGTTAACCAGGTCAAACTGTTGTCTGGTCTTGACTTATAGAGCAAACATTGACCTACCTTTGAGAAAATTACCACAAGGACATCATTAAAAACACAAAAACTAGTCATCAAAATACCGAATTAGTAACAAATAAAACATACATTCATACAAATAACACTCTAAATTGTCTAGGAACATCAAAAAATTGGATACCTCATTCATATTTTAGAGAGAATTAGTCAGAATTAAACATGGTCAGTGTAACATTTCTATCGCATCTAATCTTGTGAAAACTTAAATTGGTTCAGAATGTACTGTTATATGTAGGACTATTAGTACTGTTGGCTAATAGCCAGCGACATGGTAATGTATTTCATTGTGGTGCTCAAGATATTGGGTTAAGTGACACTTTTCATTCACAACATTGATCATTCTAAGAGATAGCATTGAGAAGTTGAGACAGAGGGGAATCTACTGAAAATCAGCTACACCTACATTACATTTATCAGATTGCACATTTAGGAGATTTCATAGCGGACACTTGAAATCGCAAATTATGGAGCTGCTGGTCACTAGTTATAAAGCCAGATAGGAATATTTATTGCTTGATTGTTGCTTTAGATTGTTGAACTAGTTATTAAAATTGGACCATAGTAACTGACCTTGCTACATATGCCAGCTTGAGGATCAGTTGAGTAATGAAAATGTAATATAACTAAAGCATATGCAGTACCATATGATGCGAATGTACTTACTATAGCCTGAGCAAACAATTACTAAATTATAAACGGGATAAAGTTTAAACACATCTAGTTATCGGCGGATTATCTTTAGTAGAGTCTACGACACATAGTTTAGGGATGTCGAGATCTGCCCCAAGGCGTGTTCACGTCCTCCGGACAATAAGTGAGTCCCATTCAGGTCATGACAAAGATTTAGACCCCGAGATAGATGGAGGGATGAATCATTTAAGCTGTAGTGTACCAAATGGGTATGGATTATATGGGTACTCCCCAGGAAGGAGCCCAACACTAACAGGAAGGAGTCCCACTAGGGTACATGGGGGACACACCCTCACCCCAGGGGATGTATATGGCTCCCAGGGGCTCAGTGCAACCGATTCTTCAGAGGAGGTGAGGATTCCCCAGAATTCATTTTTGCTATCAGATTTTTGGCGTTATTAATCAAAATGAAATTAGCTAACAAGTATGAATAACAATTATGTTGTAAACTTTGAAAAGTAGATCAACAGACCTGATAAGCTGCCAAACTTTTATGAATAACATTTTCAAGTTTTAGGCTAATTGATCATTAAAATATAAATAATGGTGTTGTTAGTATGCAGCGAACTTCCCACTTATTGTCAAAACAGATTGATGATATCTCTTTTATTGAGGTGTTAAGCCAAGTAAAACAATATTTACAAGTATATCATACTCAGACTTTAACATAACATGGGTTTTGATGCCATATTTAAAAAGTTCTTAAAACCATTCTGCTCGGCATGTAATACAATACAACCCTCTCAATAAACAAAGCTCTCTTTTTTTTCTTTTTAAGATGTTAAGTTCAACGTGTATATTTGTTAAATATTAAATGTGTTCAACATACTCTGTTTGTTTTCTGGCTTACTTGTATGGGTTACAGCATATATGATGTAATGTGATTTGCAGTTATATCGAAAATTATGCAATACATGTATGAAATTAACATGGCAAATTATGCAATATAAAATTCAAGGTTGGGATTACCTATTTTGTGGTTATTATCCTGTGTGTCTGAATTGAAGTGGTCAAGATTTATCCTGTTCCCGGACTTTGGTCCTGTATGGAGCCCATACATTTGCCTGTACGATTACAACTTGGGAGAATTATCTACGCCCCTTCCACTTAAGAAACCTACCTCAATGCATTCTAGAACTCAAAATGTAACTTCTAATATATTGGAACCGCCGATTGTCTGGGTTAGTTGGCAGAACGAGGTCTTTTTGTTTCTTATGGCTCTTTTGGTCGAAGTTCGATTAAGATGGCGGTTATAACGGAATTTCCCGAACTCTTCCGTAATAGCACGAACTTGGTTTTTCGTAACATCACTTTCGTGTAAAATGGATTTGTTTCCGGTAAGAAACATTGTTTAACCATTCGGTATACAGTTAAGAGCATAGGATGTCGACATGGCAGTAAATATTGAAAATATTGTCCGAAATTTTCGAAATTCCCTCTTACCGGTGACAAATCCATTTTACACGGAAGTGACGTAACGAAAAACCAAGTTCGTGCTATTACGGAAGAGTTCGGGAAATTCCGTTATAACCGCCATCTTAATCGAACTTCGACCAAAAGAGCCATAAGAAACAAAAAGACCTACTTCTGCCAACTAACCCAGACAATCGGCGGTTCCAATATATTAGAAGTTACATTTTGAGTTCTAGAATGCATTGAGGTAGGTTTCTTAAGTGGAAGGGGCGTAGATAATTCTCCCAAGTTGTAATCGTACAGGCAAATGTATGGGCTCCGTACAGGACTATAGTCCTGGAACGGGATAAGTCAAGATAACCACATAAGAGAGCTAATTCAAGATAATACAAATAACAGTGAAACTTGTAAAGTGCAACACTTCTGTAAGTGGAACACTATTGTAAGTGGAACACTTCTGTAAGTGAAACACTCCTGTAAGTAGAACACTTCTGTAAGTGGAACACTTTTCAGAGTCTCAAAATCAACCTTCTTAATGATAAACGAATCTCTATAAATAGGACATCTTTCAAGTCGCTTGTTGACCATCCCCCCCTCTAAAATGGGGCCAGAAAAAGTTTTTTTAGGGTCACAAATAGTGGGTCTTTTGGGCATCACTGGTCATTTTAGGTCTGTATTTTTATTTTTTTTAATTTGGGACCACTTTTTGGTTTTAGGGACCCAAAAGTGCCAAAGGTGTTCTACAAAGACATGTTTTACTATATGTAATCGGACAATGTTTTCTCTCTTGGCAGTTTGATGAATTTGGCAGCCAAAGCCATATATTATAACAGTCTGCAGTGGTGAACTTGCGCAACATGTGGCAACAAATACAGTGAAACATGTAAACATGAACAGCTCTGAAAAAATGAAAATATTGTTTTGAAAAGTTTTAGGCTATTGGATGGAAACAGATGTACGATAGATATGTTGAATAGACATGAATGCAACATGAATAGAGAACATTCTCATATTGAGAACACCCACCTAAAATGAACAGATTTATTTAAAATTCAAATGGTATTAGCTATTTGAAAATGAAAAAATATAGGTACAGTAATTGTGTTGAGGTTTTGTGAAGGTTTCATTCTCTATTTAGTCAGGTTCTTACATTTAATGCAATGAAGAGTACAAAAGGTCAGTTTACTTTATAGCTTTTCCATAAACATCAATAAAGGTGTAGACATAATATGTAGACAACCCAATAAACTGTGAAAGTAAGATATATTTTATCTTGCTCTATGATTAGGTTTGCTCCAATATTCTTGGGGGAGTGTGGTAGTACCACCATCTTTGATTGGTTGATGTGATGCTGTAGCAGTTATATGTAAATCAATAGCAATGAATACTTGTATATTCTTTGAAAGTGTGATCTTAAATTCATGCACACACGCAAAAATACCTCCGTGAAAATTGGCATGTTCTGACTTCTAAATTATAGAGAATCCAACTTAGAAGATATAGTAAGGAATGACAAAACAATATATTTGTACTTTTAAAAATGTGTTTATGGGTCAGGTTAACATTTTAATGTTTTGTAAAATTGATATATTGACCCCCCCCCCCATAGGTGGTGGTAGATTTATTTCATGAGAGTCCAACCAATAGATTTCCTAATGATCGTGGTAAGCAGCGTCCTCAATCCCTGTCCCTTTGTGATCCAACAGAGAGAGAAATGCATTGAGTATCAGAATATTTCTAACTTATAAATCACTAGTGGATTCTGGGGGGGGGGCTTATGGGGCCCACCCCAGAAAAATACAAGTCAAAAACAAAGATCCTTGAAAGGTGTTCAATTACAAGAAGTGTTTCACTGAGTGAGGTGTAGGGCCTCAATTCGTGGGCCTTTTTGGGCATAACTTGGCCTCTTTTGGCCTTTTATCAAATTATCAAAAAATGAGCCTAAAATTTTCAAAATTTGGATCCAATTTTTGGATTTAGGGGCCGAAAAAGTTTTATAGCGCAAACCCTGATTTGAATCCACCAGCGTAAAGCAATGCAAGTCGAAAACAATAGATCCTTGAAAGGTGTTCAATCACAAGAGAATTGTTTCACTGAGAGAGCCGTGTGTTACATTTTCAGTGTCTGTATTAACAGATTTTGCTGTATGGGGTTGTTTCCTTGAGACAATTAACTGATAAAATCAATGGAGTTTTGATTGATGAAGTCCTTAGAGGACAATGAACATTAAGGTGTCTGATCTTGGGAGTTAAGAGGTATTACTTGACATATATTATTTTGAATGATGGTTCTTTTATCCCAGGAGATACATTTCAGACATTAGTATCATAATTCAGTCTCTAAAATGTGGTTTCTCAGTGATTTCTTCATACATGTTGTTAAAATATAGAGGAAATCAGTGTTTATGTGCTCAGATCAACATCGTTGCTATATCATAATAAGAAACAACAGCCATGGAATTCCATCAACCTTGAAATACTGTCAACCATGAAATACTGTCAACCATGAAATATCATCAACCAGGAAATACCACCAATCATACAATACCATCAACCTGAAATACCATCAACCAAAAGTTATGCTACCCATACTTATTGGTCAGTTTTACCACTAGGGACATCAACAAGTGGTGCATGTTCCTCTTTTGGACTTCTCTTGTGATGAGGTTGCTTAAAGTTGAAAGTCATCTTCATCTTTAGACTATCATCTTTTATACCAAACTAGCATCTAGCTCATATTTGTCCTGACATTTTTATTTTGCTCAGACTAGGTAATGAACAAACGAATTTTTGCTCCCATTCTCAATCACTATTCTTATTAGAGATCAGAAACGAGATGACTTTGAAACTAGAGGTTGAAGCATATTGCAGTACATAAAGATCTGTTCTAGACCTGTCATCAATCAAAAACAGTGATAATGTCCTGTTGTAGACTGCAGGCTATTCCTTTTGCAATCAGATCACATATATCACTAGCTGTTTCACTGTTCCGTGTGCTTTCATTGTAGATTCCATGGCCTCTCATATCTATGAGTGTTCATTCTGATTTATCAGAGCCCCTCTTTACCTAACGCTTTTGAGAGAACTATTCCAAAAGGATAGTAAAGGCTGTGGATCCCACAATGATGAGTGTTAGGTAAAGCGAGACTCTGATATATCAGAATGGTGTACTTTATATTTATTCCGCGCATAGTCACAGAGTCTAGTTATAAACTACCCTCTGCCTAGTATAGACTATATTACAGTTTAGGGGCCCCACCCCCCAAGTCATGACATCAGAAAATAACAATATATAGACAGTCGTCCATATTTTAATAATGAACTCTGATTGGCCCGCTGATTTCAGAGATTTATTATAAAGAGTGAAGACGAAACTCTCTTAAGTAGCAAAGTGGAACGAATTCAAAGGGTACACATACTTTATATTAAGACAATTCAGGCAATATTCAGATGGTGATACTGGTTCGAAATTAGATAAGGCCAGATTAACATTGCCCTGAAAATATATCTTATTGAAGAATTCTTTCCAACTATATTATGGGACTATTTCATGGGTAGATGAAGATTCACCAATGGTATGAAGTAGGCTCAAGGGAGCAAGCCTCAAATTGGTATGCTAGAAATACTGTGTCCACACATAAATGAAAATGCCATTGCGAAATCGGGGTAATTTATTGTACATTTGACATTTTTAAAATTGTCATTGTACTGTGAAATTGTATGGTAAGACAAGTCAGACAGAATAACTTATTAGATTTATTCATTTGGATTCACCTAGCAACACTGAACCTTTTTGTTCAATATACACAGGTTTTACTGTATTTGTTAAAAGCTACCTTACTCCGCCTGTCTTAATGGCTATTGGAAGTAAAATGTCTATGCTGTACTTTTAACAATTTTTCAATGATGCTTAATTGATTGCATCATTCAACTGGTAAGGCTGGTAACCCAGTATATGGCCAGCAATATTGATAACTCCCTTACAAAAATGTGATATATTTAATTCTAAAGACCATAAAGATATAAAGATTTTGACTTACATTAAGTCTGTTAACCCAGTATATGGCCATCAATATTGATAACTCCCTACAAAAATGTGATATATTTAATTCTAAAGACCATAAAGATGTAAAGATTTTGACTTACATTAAGGCTGGTAACCCAGTATATGGCCAGCAATATTGATAACTCCCTTACAAAAATGTGATATATTTAATTCTAAAGACCATAAAGATGTAAAGATTTTGACTTACATTAAGGCTGGTAACCCAGTATATGGCCAGCAATATTGATAACTCCCTTACAAAAATGTGATATATTTAATTCTAAAAACCATAAAAATGTAAAGATTTTGACTTACATTACATGGGAACATATTCAGATGGTAAATAGCCCAGGTTCATCTTTACATGGCAATAAGTTCATCTTGGAATTCTGGGATGTTTCCCCCCTCTTAATGATTGGATTGTTATTTTAAAAGCAAGATAGTCTATCTGATACCATGTAGGTCAAGGTTACATATTAGATATGACCAATATATTAAATAGATATGATTTATTACATTTTGGCTAGGTATTTGATATAAGAGAATATTGTGGCCATTTTGTTTTTTGAAAGGATGTGGAACATTGACAAGATCACTGACCTACTTTACAACTCATAAAAATTAAACCGATTATACACCTGTCTTTGTAAAGGTTCCCCTATTCGAAATATATTTTAAACATGGCTGGAATCAAAGATTGCTTGGAGATTCTTTAATCATTTGAATCCTAGCTCTATCAATATAGATTTATACAAGATTTTCCGCTGTAGAGACAGATTTTATTGACTAGTGTCTCGATATAGTCTCATTAATAGCAAAGATTTCATAACATATTAACATATTGCGGCAAATGTTTTTCAACCTTGGAAATGAGTTAATGCATTTCCGTCAAGTGTTGATAACAGCTTCATCCGATTGGATCAATTTCATAAGCCTTAAAAATACTTGGACTTTCTTAATAGTAAATGTCATAAGACCAAAATGAAAATTGATGTGTTTTAATATTAGAATTGGTGTGTCAGTTTTTAATGATGTGTCAATTTGTTTTGATTGATGGGGGATGTGTCTTAGTTATCAGTTTGTTGTCATGTCATCTTGACCCAAAAATAGACTTTTTTATATTGTATTTATCATGTTTACGAAAAAGAATTCTTATCGTAAAATTCTTATAATATCGATCAATTTTTAAGGATATAAAGGAAGTTGAACATTTCTTGAACATTTCTAAAAAGACAATTTGTTTTAAATGATAAAAAATTACTGTACATGTTGCTAACTATATATCATTATTAAATATTATATCTTTTATTGACAATAAAAATCAAATAAAGTAAAGTGAACACCAAGCACTTAAAGATTAGATTATTTGCTTTAAAAGAAGTACTAATTTAAACTTCACTATTTCGTTTGAATGAGAATTTAATACGAAGTTATTATGCAAAGTTCAAGGACTTGAGACTCATAATCTGACAATTAATTGTTTTTCATATTATTAAATTTTGAAATTACTCTATTAGAAGTTTGTGTCTATGCCCCCCTCCCCCCTCCCGTTACACTGAAGGGTTTAAAGGCTTCATTACGAAGCATTTTGACAAGAAGCTTCATAACAATGGATTTTTATGCCAGTGTAACACCTCCATCTTAGGTAGGGGTTGGGAGCAATGCTTTTTAACTTGTGCCCATCTTAAATCTAATACACTGCCAATCTCAAACAACTTTGTACAGCACTGTACATCATACAGCATTGTACATCATATAGCACTGTACATCATCATCATACAGCACTGTATATCATACAGCATTGTACATCATACAGCACTGTACATCATACAGCACTGTACATCATACAGCACTGTACATCATACAGCACTGTACACCATACTGCATTGTACATCATACAGCACTGTATATCATACAGCACTCTGCTTGACTAAATTACTGTAAGATGATATTAATCATGTCAGACTTAGGGGTGTAAGTAGTTTGCATGTCACATTATTACGAAAATCAAAACCTCTTATTTATAAAAATCATGAAAATTAATATTTGTGAAGTAAATATTTTGGCAAATCTTTCTTAATTAAAAAAATTGTTATCGACACATTTTATCTGGGTTAACAGGTTAAGTATATAAGAGTTAAAGTGGAAGGTAAATATTGTCTGCAAAACAGAAACCTTGCTCCCTCTATATTGTATTATATTAATCAATATGTATTGTGTTAACAAAACTTTTGTGGATATTTGCTCAATGAATTGTTCAAATCTCGTTGTTTATGAACAGGACTTAGTAAAAGCGTGCGTAAAAGTATCGACTCATTCAAGTCTAAGCTATTCTAAGATCACGATTACACCTCGAATATCTGGGAATAATATTTACGATTTCTGACTTTGACTCTGTTGATTTTAATCCGCTTTAGATGTTGTGTAAATTAGAAACCAAAGATCTATACAGAAATTCATGGGATTACTGGATACTTAGGAAGTTATTAATATCAGGAATTACGCCATTGAAGCCACAAAAGAGAATTTTAGACCCTATAAAGGAAACACCAGAATTTTAAGAGGTATTCTAGAGAGAGAAATCACCAGTTGATATTTCTCGACTCGAATGGTAGGAAAGATTTTTTCAGTATCAATTAATGTAGATTAGAGCATGGGCTTAGAGACTCCAGACCTCATAACTAAACAACATATGGACTTGTTTATGGATATATTTTCTCCAAAGTTATGTTTTGTTCGACTAATGACTCATAGGTTGTTTTGATCAGAACTGTACTCATTCTATTGGCAGGAAGCGTACACCGATTTATAAATGTAGTTATTCACACCAGTTTCGAATAATACAAGCACTTAAAGGTAGCTAAGAGTTTTATTTTTAAGTGTATGAAATGATGCAAACATCAAAAGGAAAGCAACTAAAGAGTAAACACCAAACTTAAATGATACATTGGATAAGTACACCATAAAACGAACAAATTGGTTTGGTAGAATCAAAAAGAAATTAGTTCTCAGAAAACTATTTACGTAATATATAGCTCAAAGGAGCTGTACTGGGAAGGGAGGATAGACAGGAATTAAATCTCAGTCAACAAGTTCATATAATGTAAGTTACCTAGGTAACGAGTAAAAGAAATCATCGTGATTATACCATCATGGGATTTTAACCAGGATGTTGTTATTTCACAAATTACACATAATCTTCGTCATTATCTTAAAAAAATGTTTTTTTATCAAGGAATTATTTTGCTTCGTGTGATTCATGTTGGAGAAGTACATGTATACATGTAGGGATATAGCATTCTAGACAACTAGTACAGTAGCATAGAATTATGTGTATGGTAAAAAGAAATATGTTTGTCTTGAATTACCTTATATATTTATTTACTATTTTGGCACAATCAATGATACAGTCTTATATTACCAATCTCCTTTACAGCACATAGTATTGCATATATAACTATGTTAAATATGTAGATCTTTGTATGGGTTGGCTCCCTAGTATTATAGATTTGAAAAACTGCTTCAAACTGCAAAAAACTGCTCTGTTGACTTCACATTGAAAGACTGCTTTAAACTGCACAAAACTGCTCTGTAGGAACTGCTCCAGGCTGCACTGAGTGCAGTGAAGTGTGATGAATTGAATTGTAACAATAGTCTTGCATTAGAGTTAGAGAAAAGAGGGGTATGGTATCCTGGGTCCTGATGCAGGACTAATCTGATAAATATTAGATGTTTTTATGTCACTACCATAAGTGGTGACATATTGTTATAGTCTCCAACTTTTTTGTGGATGGTGTTTGGTGTTCTGTGGTTGGTGTTGGTGTCTGTAACAAATGGTAGGTTGTGACATTTCGCATTTTAATGCATTAAAGCATTCTAATGTATGGATTTTCTGTATTTTTGTTTTTCTGGCTTACCTGGAAGACTGCCATTGTTTTACTCATATTTTCAGTCTCAATTTCACATTTTGTTATTTTTCCTCGAAATCCAATGTTTACTAACAAATGGAAACAAATATCTCACACCTATGACGGATCTTCATACATATTTAGTGTGACAATTTTTATTACAAGCACTTTTTAAGGTTCTTCAATTTGCTTACAGTATTTGAGGTTGTGCAGGACTTAGAAACGGATATCTGTTAATGATTTCAACATAAGTGACATTTGTCAAGTTTGTTTTAAGTATTTTGGATTTTACAAAGTGTTTACACGTACACATGTACATGTACAAACTAATCTTTAGATAACTAAAGTTCAAATATCAACATACCTGATATTTTCGAACAAAATGAAGTAAAACCTGAAAGATTTTACAAGGAATAAAGTAACAACCGTTACAGAATAACTAACATTTACCACAGACACATAAAGAGTGATTAACTCATTTTAACTTGCGAAAAAAAGACAGGAATAAGAATTAAATTTGACATTTAATTTACAGGATATTAATTTAGTATCATTTGTAAATGTGTGATATCCATGCTCAAAATACCTCTCAAATCATGCTTTTTCATGCCTTTTCTCTGTTGATACTGAATAAATCGATTCATTTTTATCATTTCTGTGTAGTTTTGAATATTTATTTTATGCTTGATGGGTTTATTCATTGCAATTTCATTTGATTCTTCATATTTTGTATTTTCTTATCTGATCTGTTTGATATTTTATTGATTGATCGAGATCGAAGTACATGTATGAACTATTTGCTTCAAGTTTATATAAGGATATACTTTTGTATGCTTGCAGGATTTGAGTACATTTGCTATGCCACTTTTGGAGACTAACCATGAAGGTAATTCAACAGGAGATAGCGTAGATGGCTTTCGAAATCGCAGTGGCTCGGGTGGATTCAGGAACTACTTTCGCCGACAGCGTCACAAATCAGCTGACCAACAAATCATAACTGCTCAGATAATGGAGGACAGTAAAAAGCAAAGACAAGAAGTGCCCTTGAAAGAAGAGCCAAATTTAGTAGTGAATAATCATAACAATGTCTCGCCACCCTCTAAGCAGAGTGGCATTAAGGGATTTTTTGATGTTTTCCGGCCAAGGTCGAAATCAGACGCCTCAGGAATGACCCGGCCTCGGAAACGAGAGAAAGTGACCTCACCATTGGCCGCTCAAGCTCAGCCGGGTCATGCAATTGTAAATGAAACAGGAAGAACGAGGAAGTTATCATCCCCAACTTCACCCACGCATAGCCTCCCACAAAACCTTTCCTCCCCCCGTCAGAGAAAAATATCAGCGCCCCTGCCCCCGTTGAGGATTGTAACTACGGAACCCTCCCCTAGCAGCAATCCAAATAGTCCCCGTAAAGATATGCCAAACATCAGCTACCCAAGCTCTCCACCCCCAGTTAATACCCCTATGAGTCAGATATTGGAGGATCAAATTACGCATCAAAATGGACGAAGATTTGATGGTGCTAAAAGTCCCGTAGGTTTTATGGAAAAGTTCCGCGGACGATCTAACTCTGATTCTATGAAAACTCGACCAAAGCGGTTAATCAACCAACAAGTAAGTCTGTTTTTATTTGTTTGCTTGTCAGGTTGCCTTGTCTTGTATTATTGAATCTTTAAAACATTATGGTAAAACCTGTATTAGTGAAACCACTTTGGTCCTTCAAAAAAGTGTTCAACTTTGAAAGTGATCCATTTAAATTCCAACTTAATGTGTAATGGGACTTGTATTGAAAGTATTTCCCATTTGGAGGATTTCTGATTGAGGTTTCTAATTTATGCTTGAACTGTACTTGGACTCTAGTGATCCTGCTGAAAAACTACATATATGAAGGTAACAGCCGTCACCTTCGCATCAAAGATGGCAGACGGGAAGTGTCGGCTTTGATATTTTTAGTTTTCATTGAATTAAACTACATTCTATTTGACATAATGCTTTGATATTTGAACCAAATCGGACTCATATGACATGGGAACTATGGAATATGATAAAGGAAGGAAACTGGAAATGTAAGATACGGTAACGGTCATGTTAGTTTTCAATATACGGTAACGAGACATCTTAGTTCTCCATTATAAACTCTCCTAATGTTACCGCATCACCGCATATCAGTTATCTTATCTGTAAAACCAAAATCCCAGTTACCTCCCCTTAAGCGGTGGAAGATTTCCTTGAACTGTGGCACGCACATATGGTAACGAATGATCATACCCCAGAGTTTTTATGTCATATAAGTCGGGTTTAATTCAAATATCAAAGCATTACATCAACTATAAAGTAGTTTAATTCAATGAAAACTAAAAATATAGAAATTAACACTTCCCGTCCGCCATGATTGATGCGAAGGTGACGTCCATTACCTTCACTTGATACTGACCAGTATATCGGTGATCTCCATAGCATTGAAGAAACTGGTTATTGCATATTAGTACAAATATATATAAAAATTTTGACCCATCCTGTTGAAAATCTGTTTGCACCCTTATGAAGGGGTTAATATGTTTTAACCTATATAGGACATACAGCCAGAATTTAGCACCCTGAAATAAGTGCCCTCATAAGTTTTGAGAAAATCCTGAGGAGAGCAGTGTGCCTGTTTTCCTGTTCTAGGTACAATGTAGAATTTAGAATTTATTAAGGCACGGCCACTGTGTTATCAGGGCATGGCCAGACTACAATTATACAAACTACATTTATACAGTTACATTTATACAGTCACATTAATCTACAAAGATATTGTGTTGTAATGGTTGCGATGTTATAGGTTTCTTTTCTAAAAGCACATGTCAATGAAATGCAGGACTTCCTCCATATTTGATTTGTATGACATAATGTATAGGAACTTGTTTTCCTCAGTCATGTTAGAAAAGTCCTTATTTGACGTTTGAATTTTATCTAATAATATAGTGCGCTCACTTTCGTAGATTTTGCATCTCATAACGTAGTGAGAGATTCTTCAAGATGTATATTATTTTTGAATTTTACGTAGGTTCTCATTTTACTATTGTTACTTGTATGTATTAGGGTGAAAAATAGATTTGTGTGTTCATAAAATGTTTGATTTGAGGAGGATGCAGAACTTAAATTGTAGCTGATAAATGGAGGCTGTGGCTTTATCCCTCTAAATTATTGAAGTTAGTTGATTCTGTCTACATAACTCTTTGCAAGAGCTAGACTGTCTGCACTCTTAAATTCAGAGATGATTTGGGATTTGGCCTTTAACTAATCAGAAAAAATGACTTCAGGAAATCACAATTTATGCTGATATGTAGCTAACACTTATTCCATATTTAAAATTCAATTTTTTTCTATCATTTGGTATCATAAGAGCACAAAGATTGTCTTAACTTGAAATCTTTTGTAATAGTATGAGGACAGTGGTGAGTTGATTATGATACAGAGTAGTCTACAATGTGAAAGTACCATATGTATTAACTTAATGGACACTGAGGCTAAATGGCATTGAGCTGTCAAAGTTGTTGATATATTGAATAGTTGTTTTTGTCCATTTTTTCTTTTATATTATTGTGAGTCTATACATAGAATGATAAAAAAATGTCAGAGTTGTTTTGTGACCTCCATAAATCATGGATATATGTCTGGTGGGATAGTTTTATGAGTCAATGGAGGATGGTATTAAAGGACGGGGGGGGGGTTAACAGCAGATAATGGGTCATTTTGGTTGGGTGATGATTGGACTTATAACCCCCCCCCCCTTTGTTTTGTTAAGCTTATGATTTACCATACTTACCTCCCATAGTTGTCTGTTGTTTTCATCAAAAGTGGGGACATATTGTTAGGGTAGATCTTACTTTTCTGTGAAGGTGGTTGGTGTTTGGCGTTCAAAGTTTGGTATTCGGAGTTCAGCATTTGGCATCTGTAACAAATGGCTGGTAGTGACATTTTGCATGTTAATGCCTTGTTGCTCTAATGTTCCCTCTTCCATTTGCCTATTATAGTTTTATATAACACTAAAACCCCTACAAACAATGCAGAATGTTGTTGATATTCACCTAAATATGACCTTTTGACTAAGATGATAAACTCAATAACAATTTGATTAAGAAATAGCGAATCGATCTTCGATAAATTGTCTCTTACTTACAGATGAAATTGTAAAAAATTGGGTTGTTTACAGGATGCCTTGCATTTAGTTTGAGAGTTCCATTACCATTGATATCTCTCATTTCATTACAACTAAGATATTAATTGACTTGAAGAATAAGATACCTGACTTTGTGCAAGTAAGTTCTAATATATGGAGATACCCAAGATTGTTTGCCCATTTTGAAATATTATTTGTAAACAACCAATAGACCAATAAAAGTACATCTTAGTTCTGGCTAGGCTTGCATGGAAGCCTTGAAAAGTGTACCCTTTGCATTCATTCAACTTTGCTTCTTAATTAAAAGAGAGTCTCTTCTTGAGGGTAGTTTATAACTAGACTCTGCGTGCAGGATTAGTAGAGTTCCTCGATTTGCATTTATTTATGACAAAGAGACCTCAGTTGTAAGATTGACCATATTCTCTTTGGTTTGAATCATAAGTCTGCTTGTATATATTTTATGACTCATTTGAGGAGGGGGGGGGGGTTATCTGCAGCTAATGGGTGATTTTCACAGAGTGCCCGGGGTAGATTTTCACTGGTTGTTTTTTTAGGTCATTGTTCTTTATTTCCAGATTATTCAACACAATTATTTATATAGATTGTGAGGGTCCGAGGCTATATAGCATTATTGGCCCCCCTCTAGAAAAAGGAGGGTTGGTTTTTTCAAAAAATATGCTGTCCCTTTAGCAGATGAAATTGTGAAACATTATGTTGTCTACAAGATACCTGACACTATATTTGATAGTACCTTTATCCTTTAACATCTTTTATTTCATTACAAGTAATAAGATATTGACTATTTATACAAGAAACCTGACATTGTGCAAGTAAGATCTAATGTATGAAAGTACCCAAGATTGTTTATACCCATTTTGAAATACTTTTTGTAAACAATTATACCAAATATATAGCAATAATAGAACACTTAGTTCTTGTTAGTCCTCTAGCAGCTAGGTTAAAAGGTTGACAAAAAAAACAAAAAAACAGGCTCGCATCCACCTGAAAATCCATTTGCACCCACTTGACTTGAAAATGAGAAAAATCATGAAAAATTGGTATATTTTGGCCAATTTCGGTCTGCATTGTGAAAATGAGAATCTAGCGCCAACTTGAGAAAAAATCCTGTGTAGAATTCTGATATTATATCTGGGCCTTCCTCCATTCACTTAAAACATAGCTATAGATAAACAACTACATGTATATACAAATAAGGTCTTTGAACCACCATATGCACAGATGACATAAAATACTTCCGCCTCCCCCCATTCATTTAGATAATAGTAATTAGTATAAACTATATTTGCAAATAAATTCTTTGCACTGATATGAGCACACATGATGCAATACTTCCTCCTATTTACTTAAACATAGCAAAGATAAAAAAATCACATTTACATGTTTTATTGACTGAAAACACCATTAATTTGACACACTTGTCACGTTTATATATCTACTTAGATTTGTTTTGCATTTTGTTTCTGGTGATTACTAAAACCAAGATTAGGCTGTATTTTCGTGATAAAGAAACGACTCCATTCTAATATAATACGGACCAGTCGATTATTCCCAATCCTGGACATAATTGGTTAAAAAATCAATGCTAGGAGCAAAACAAGGCTATTAATTAAGGTAGTCCGAATATAAAAATATGCTTTTACATGTAACATTCAATATTGTCAAAAATGTCTATATAAGGCCTTCCTTAACTAAGTAAAAGTTCAATGCCTTTATTATAAATCAGTGTGTTCCCAACGTGCAAGATCAATAGTACTTTACATTTATTATCTATCAGTGTCAACTGACGTAGACAAAAACAATTCTATTATGTATGAAATTCCAATGCTGTTAGGCCTAACTCATTACAATGTAACATTAGAGTCTTTTTAAATAATGATTATCAATAGTTGGATGATGTTAGGGTTTTCTATGAATACGAAAATGTTATCATCACGGACATTCTTAATGTCCATGTTATTATGTTGTAATTGTGGTATTTTCTGACTCATTTTATTTTTGTTTATCAGATTATACGTAATATTGCAAATATTTGGTATCGTTTTATTATTTTTCCTGGTTCAATTATTCTATTCAATTATCATAAATCACTCAATAAAGCTATTACGCCAACCGGAAACTGTGAACAATACCTTCAAAGCTTAACTCCAAGTTGAAATATATTCATTGCTTATCAAAAAGTATTTTACTTTGCCGCAATAAATCTTATGTTTTAGTGTCTGGATCTCAACAAAAGTTACGGACACTCCTCCAAGTCATTAGGCAAACGGCAATTATTATTCAGCCTTTCTAATGAAGCTTCTACAAAAAACTACTTTTGTTGTCTGTGTCATTATGGAAATGTAATGTTTAAACATCTGCAAAGTCTATACAGAAATATATATAGTTTTCAGTGATGTTATTTTTGCTAGTCGTACTGCTTGTTGTCTCTTAT